TTTTATTTCTAAGTTTTATAAGATTAAATTCCATATCTAAACATGCATCAAGATATATAGTCAATATTTAAATAAAAGTTAGCTGAAGAATTAGGCGACATATGAAGGTTTTAATAATATGTTATATGATTGATACGTTATTATATTTCATAGCGGAAAGAAGATTTTAATTGTAAGTTATCTCGAGCATATTGAAGCGAGACAGATAGACATGTCAGATACCATCTGCATTTTACAATGAATAATCTATGTGGACCCCTACTGTTAATATGTATGAATAATAAAAGACGCTTTTTATTAATGAAAAAAAAAGAACTTCTCATCTGTAAGCGAAGTGATTTTGTATACAAGATGTTATTCCCTAAAGATTTTGGAAGAAAAATCAAGAAATAGGACATTTCTCAATGGAGTAAATATAGGCAATGTTAGTGGTTTTTTTCAAAAGAGACATTCATTTTTGTTTGATTAATTAAAAAGTTAACTCATGCATCGAAAGGATTTTTAAAAACAAGGTACTTTTCTATATTAATTCTATGTTGAGAAATCGTTAGAAAACTGGGAAATAATATAAAAATGCAATAATAATAATAATAAACTTGTTTTGCTTAATCAACAAATCATAAACATGTTAGCAATTTGTTCTCCCAATTTATTATTGTTTTCGAGAAGATCTAGAGCATCCAGAAGTTTTACCAGCTGTGCAAAAATAATATACATTAATTCTAGGTACTCATATTATTTTTTTTCTTCTTATAATGAATTTATATATACCTTTTTTACTTTGAAGGATAAATTTTGCTTTATCATCAATACCATCAACATTCGATTGTCAAGCAGTATGAAGTAAATTCCAAGGTCTATATTAAAATGGAAGTAAAATAACATATAATTTGTTTAACTTGAATTTATTCATAATTATAATATTTCTTCATATAATAAACAGTTGAAATATTGTTATACTGCAATTAATTGCATTTTACCTATTTATAGGGTTTGAAAATTTTATACATCGTCCGCATGATATAAAATATGTCTTCATCGATGAATATTTAAAAAAAAAATAAACAAGATATATTTGTATTTATTTTTCGTATATTTTTGTGTTTATCGATTGATATAGGAAAGAAAAAGGTAAGAATTCATGTAGTATGTACTAAATCTGTTCTGTTTATTTAGAAAAATGATATATGCTTTTAAATAGATAGCGCTAGATGTCAGTATTAGTTGTCTCTAATATACACTCGATGATAACAACATACTGTAAATGTCTATAATTATCAGGTTATATCCTTGTTTTTGATAGTGACTATTATAATGATTAATGGCTCATGAAATATTTAACTCTATCATTTTCATTGATTCGCAGTGTTTATAACATCAACTAATTGAATATACTATCGAACTTATTCACCTACGAATTATTATAATATTAGTTCTGATACAAGAAAATGACATTTTAAAACCATTTCTTTATTTATCTCTTGGTTTAGACAAATGAAGATATAATTTGAAAAAACATTGATAATAAGCAGAGTTCGTAGATAATTGGAAGCTAGTCAATAAGATATACAAATTGTTTTTTTCGAAAGCTGATTTCCTTCTTCATTGCTATTATATTGTACAAACATTCTATGAATTTCTTTTTTTTTCTGAGCCAGTATACTATGATCACAGATATGATTTTATTCTTCTTGTATATTTATGTAACCGCTTATTTTTATTCTTAACGTGATAGATCAACAACAAGTATAGTTACGAACAACACTGAAAAAATAAAGTTTTAAATAGATGAAATAAAATATTTTATGTTGAACGTATTGTTTTTTAATAAGCACGATTTGTTCCTGATCGTGGAGGTCGACCTATTATTGAATAGAAAAGGAAAGATGAGATTACAATGATTAATAATTATATAACTTACTCCAATTTTGTCCACCGCCACCACTATTGCCACCACCACCGCCGCCGCCGCCGCCGCCAGTGCCTTGATTACGTTGTTGACCTTGTTGTGCTTGTTGATTGGGTCTTGAATAAAAATTTGGTTCACCACCTCGGAAATTAACTATTTTTTCATTTTGCTCATACAATTGGAAGATCTTTTCAACAAGTTGAAGTGAAAGTGCTTGTGTTCTTGATGGATCTGTATGATGCATTATAACAGTTTGATTTGGTTCTTCCAGTGAAGCCATAAGTTCTTCATTAATAATCATTTTACTAATAATACCATAGACTTGTTTAACTGGTAATTCAAACATATCAGCTAATGTTGGCATTGAAATAGCATCATAAACAGTAGCATAAGTAAATAAATATGTACGTAATGATTCTTCTTTGATTTTGTCAGTAAGCATTTTTCGTACTTCTGTAGCTTGTGGCATTAAATTCCATACTTTTCCATTCATTTTTTCATTAATTAAGAAATTAACACATGCGCTCCAATCACCTGTTTTCATAGCACGACTTGCAGCTACAACGTGTTCACGCATAGATTCTGGTGGTCCAAAAACAGGTTGTTTTTCTGCTTGACGCATTTGGGTATGAAAATGTTTACTAATAGGTCGTTTTCGTGCATCATATTCATGAGAAGCCATAAATGGAATTTCAATTAACATAGCTGAGACAAGATAAACACATTCAATTAATTCTAAATTAATATGCATATGAAATGGTAATAAACGTTGTCGTTCTTTCATTTCTTGATCACGTGTTCGTTCTTGATTACGTATCATTTGAACACCTTGTGCTAATAATTCTTTTGCACGATTACCGGATTGCATATCAACTAATGCTTGATGTGCTTCACGTATTGCACCAAAACGAAAAGCACATAAACCTAATTGAACAACAGTTCGATTATACAAAATTTGTGTTGCAACATCCGATGAATTAATTGTATCTTGCATATGACACATTAACATTAAATCACGTGCTTCATAATAATGATCGTGTAATGCTAAATGATAAACATGACAAAGACTTGCACGTGCACGTGCACGATTTAACGAATCTTTCGCATAGATATATTTGCAAAGACGATCCATTGCTGCAACTGATGGTTGACCAGGTGTTTTATCATATTTATAATAAACATGTTCAATAACACACATGTATGCTGTACATAAATGTTGTGCTTGAACAAGTAGAACTGTACCAGTTTGAGTGTCATTACTTATCATAACATTTCTATTTGCTTTTGATTCTAAATATGTTTTTAAACGATCAATTATTGAACAGACACGTAATTCATCTTTTAAACGTTCAACATAATCTTGACTATGAGCATCGGCATTTTGGAGAATTTTAATAAATTCTTCATCCATCTTAAGAATGATTGTTATTATATCTCCATGAATACGATAGTCAGGTTCTTTCTTAAGATTTTCTGCTTCTTCAGTAATATTTTCACTGAGTTGAACTTCATCGTGTTTAGTTAATAATGTCAATAATTCATCAATGTAATCAAGTACACGTGTCCATGTATCTGGTTTTAAACATTCATTACCCTTATGATGATAATCAAAACTAACAGCAATTTGGATTAATAAAATTTTGATATCAAGACCAACACCTAAATTTTGTTTTTCAACATATAATCGAAGAATTTTTAAGCATTCCAATTGATCACGACGATTTGTTCCACGTTTACCACGCATAGCAATGATATCATTAAGTTTTTTTAAAATAGCATCATGTGTTATTTCTTCGTCTTTACCAAATGAAACAAGTTTTTGAACATCTTGTCGTGGTGCACCATCTTTTGGTCCATCTTCATCTTCATCTTCTGATAGTTGAACTGGTCGATCAGGTCGACGTGCTTTTGGTGCACGTTTTGTACCACTTGCATCTTTATTCTTTTTTTCTTTTTCAGTTTTGTCTGTTCTAAAATCGATGTATGAAAATTTTATTTTCTATTACTTATTAAAGAATAATTTATTACTTCAAAAATTTTTTGTAAAGTTCTTCATTTGGAGCATCTACGTCAATTGAACTATCAGTAGAATCATCTTCACTTTCGTCCCATGTAACATCACTGGAATCACTTTCATCATCATCTTGTTGTGGTTTTCCTTTTGCTGGAGCAGCAGCTTCTTCTTCATCGTCTTCACTTTCAGCACTTTGAGCAACGGGTGAAGCTTCATGTTCAGGTAATTCTTCATCATGAACATCGGGTTTTTCACGATAAGCATTGATTTCTTTTTCCAATGGTTCTTGTTTTAAAAATCGACGAATTTTTTGACGTAATGCACTTAAATTATTTGAATTATTTTTATTAAGTGCATCACGCCATTCTCGATCACCCCAGCATTGATTAATGAAATCATCAAGTTGTGCTAATATTTTAATAAAAGATCTTGGTAATCCTTGATCTTTTTCTAAAACTCGTCTAGCTTTTTCGTATGCTTTGATTAAATTTTCGTAACATTCATAGACTAAGCCAATATCACGAATACGCATAGCATGTTTCATTTTTTTGATGATTTCTTCGATTTCTTCGTATCGTTTAACTTTTTCACTTCGTACAACACGTTTAACATCTTCTTCATCGTCACTCACTGTTAGGTATGGTTTAGCAGCACTAAAATACAAAAAAAAAATTGAATTATTTCATAGAAAACTTATAAAAATGCATACGATTTTGTTGCGCCTTTACTGGCACCTTTTTTTGGTGCTTGAACTTGTTGTTGTTGTTCGTCATCGGTGGTATCTTCACTTGATGAGGAATCATCGCTCAAAAAGAATCGATTACTAGCCATGGTTTTTCTAAAAAATAGTAAGAAAACTTTTAACAATCGAAGAAATTTATACTTGCACTTTTACGCAAGACTAAAAAATAAACAATCGGTTAGTCAGTTTGCTTCTGAATGGATAAAATGGAAGATACAAAACCATGTTTGTTAATAAAAATAAAATTATTTCAATAGAGGACGTCAGTTATCGGTATGTTATAACATGCAATCAAAGAATTTATTTAGGATAAATAAAATAGAATACATAAAAGATAAATATGAATAAAAAAAACTATCCACGTCCTTTTATTTTTTTCATGAGACTTGGTCGTTTAGGACCATATCTAATTTTGGTTTTGGTTTTGATTTTGGTTTTTGTTTTATATTTCATCTTGTGTTTTGTTACTGGTGGTCGTCCTACATGCACACGACGTCGAGGTGATGTTATACGTCGAATAACACTACCATCCACAGAAGTACTACAATAAGCCATTATAAGAACAGTAACGAAAAGAAGAATTAAAATAGTACGATATGTTATTCGCATGATTGAAATATTGTTTAGTTAAATGAATGAATGAAGTATACAATAGAAATACATCGATATAAATAGTAATGGTGATGATAGATAAATAGATAAGATTATATAAAATGAATTTGAGTGATAGTTTATATTTCACCTTGAGTTTATTGTTTCTTCGCACTTAGATTAAGATTTATAGTAAATAAAAAAACATCAAATGTAATTTGTCAAACTTTGTATAGTTGTTTATTCAGTTTTTCTAGGAGTAAAATCGAAAGATTCAAATATTCTCTATATAATACTTTATCAAAACAATGTAAAATATTTTCAAAAAAAAATGAAGTTCTCTATGCAAATAATCTATCATAGAGTAGAGTTTCTAAGTCACATATTTACAATACAAGAAACTATAAGTAATCTATGAATCATTTTGTTTTAATCGGTCGATACATTTCATTAAGAAAAGTAGAACTATAGACACTGGATCTCTTTCGTTCTGTCATATATTGCATATATAAACTGTCTTCTTAATGTCTGTGTTGTTTTTTTTTTGGCTGACGATATGAACGGAGTGTAACGAAACATCCAATAAATATGATTATGGTGTCTATAATTTTATAAATAATCTGTATTTCATAGCAGTTTCTTACATAAGAACATATCTTAATTTATTATTCATTCAAGAAAGAAAGATAATTTTTTTGATATTTATTTTATTTGATTCATAAGTAATAGTACATACACACTCTCTTTTTCTAATAAACTTATTTCGTTCTTCAAAAAAATATCAGTCGATATGGCATCCGAGAAAAAACAACTCAATCAGTAAAGTAACTATACAAAATAAAACCTTGTTTCTTTTCTCCTTTCTTTTCTTATCGCTCGAAAATATTGGCATACACAAATTATTCATTCTTAATCATTATGACAAATCCACATATAAAAAAATACCAATATCAAACACCTATATATGCTGAAAATATATATTAATATTTCATTCTTTCTATTTCAGAGTACTAAAAAATGAAATTATCTTTGATGTTACTTGTCGTATTTGTTCTAGTATTTTCAATTGCATCGTATGTATTACATACTGACAAAATCTAATAAATATATAAGTTCTTATTTTATTTCAGTGGTTTATTATCAAATGCATGCAAAAATAAAGC